TGGTGGCGGCCATCTCGGCCATCCGAGCTGGAGATGACTCATGAGCCATCTTGGAGCACCAATAGGGGTCCTCCACGTGTCCAGGGTATTCTCTTCCCCAAACAATACACATGTGGAGCTTTAGTAGTTACATATTTCTTATATTTTATATGTCAATATTCTCAATTTTCTTTAATATAAAATATTCTCAATTTTCCTTAACAATACAATTATATATAGATATATATATAAATATAATTGTATTTAACAATACAATTAATATGAATTATTTTAGTAATGGAACTCTAACTCTATTTTTACGATCCTTTTGTTATGTGAATATTAAGTGATGTAATTTGCTTATGTGTGGTTTTCCTTCTTACAGTTGATCAACTTAGGATTCATTAGCTTGTTTTAATTATGACAAAAGGTTAAAATTAGTAGACGTAGTACAAGTAGGTTCATGTCTTGATTTGAGCTGGGATGAATGTAAGTGCATAGACACATGTTTGTGTCTATTTGCTGGTAAACTTAGAAAAGTTGAGCTTGTTGATGCAGAAATTTGGCCTCCTGGAACACTAAATTTGCACTAATCTTCAAGAATAAAAGGCGATCGACGAAACCTTAAACCTTTAAAACCAAAAAGCACAGCCACACCGGCTCTGATGTTTAAGTTAGAATCAGAATAGTAGAATAGAAATAGTCAAGTATATATTATCTCCTGAATCTAGGAAAAATCTTAAGACTATCAACATATCTTCTCTTCTGAATTTCCAAAAATTAGAATTCTAGAAAATAGAGATTTTTTTATCCATACCAGAACTAATCACATGTCAAATCAGGCTTTCGTATATTTTAAAGTTTGAGAATTAGAAATAATTTTCGGGCATATATTTTGGGATTTTTCGTTAATTTGCAGTGTTACTAGCATAGTATAAACACTGAAACCTAAAAATAGTAGTGAAGTTTTGTAAATTCCAACATTTTGATCAATCGATTCTTGTCTTAATTATTGTCAAAATTTAGTTCGATATTTTTAATACGGTTAGAATTTAATTTCCTTGTGTCAAGCTTACATTTTGTTAAATTTAGACCACTTAATTGCGTTTATAGTTGTGACTAATATTAGTACTTGTTTGAGTCTCAATTTTATAGAATTTGCGGCCAAAGCGAGCATAGCTCAGCGATAATTGACATATATTTCTAACTAAGAGGTTGTGAATTCGATTACCCACCCCATATGTTGTATTAAAAAAAATTTACAAAATTTGAATTAATTAGTCCCGAAGGAATCACTTTGATTCACCTATTACTACCTTAGATTGTATAATATGCCTGCATAGTGAAATTTTGCTCATCACATGTTTTGTTATGAAAAAATTTTAGAAAATACCTTTAGTTGGCATGCCAAGTGTCACAACCATACTAGAATATAGTATGTTAGTGACTTCCACACAGTGGACAAGTGGTGGCGACCATGTATATGTCGCCCATCAGGCCATGTGAAGATCCGAGAAAGAAATATCTCTAAATAAGTAATGGCAATGTAGTAGTGTCGGTGACAAGTTTTGTGAGGGTCAAGTGGGGCTCCAGGCCACGACCCTAAAATTGCGGTTGCATTGAGAGTTTAGATGACTGGCTTTGGAATTAGATGCATATTATGTAGATATGCAGGCACACAATATTTCGTGTTAATCAGATATCAGATATGTGCTCTACGTTGGTGAGTGGCTCCTCGCCACTTATGACGTTCATGATGTCATACCAAGTACACCTCCCTAGGCCTTGTGGTCTAAGCGAGCTACCCCATTGCGCATGCATATATCATAGCGTGAGTGCGTGTCGCAATATAAGTGTTGTCTTAGATGTCTCCTTGGGAATGGAAATCTCGGGGATAGTATCGAGTGGCACAAGTGTGTGCTAGTATTGCGCCTCTTTCCATGAGTTGAGGTTGTGACATAGGGTCATTGTCCATATTGCACCTCTTCCCATGGGTTGATGTTATGACATAGGGTCATTGTCCAATATGGTATGCTCAAGTGAATTGGCATAGACCTGAAAGTCATCGTGCCAAGATAGTTCCCAAATGGATGAATGTTCAAGACGGCCTCGACATGAAATAAAAGGCTTATGGTCTAATTCTTGGGTGTGCATACAAGATGAGTTTAAATGTACAAAAAGGCAACATGTGTTATTGAGGGTAAGTTAAGTTGCCAACATTCTCTTAAGACTAAGTTAACAGGGACGAGAAGATGTTCATGTGTCAGTAGTTTGGGTGAATGTTCAACACAACATCGTGATGCAAGATTAAGGAGGAGAGAAGGAACCTCACCTATGGTCTTGATGGAGTTAAAAGCCACGTAAGATGAAAGTTGAGACTAGAGTTCCCCTTTAAACTAGTTATGATGAGTAAATTCACGGTGCCACAAGGTTGAAGATAGTACGAGTGTGACATACCCAATAGGTGAAATGGGACGTTCACTCTTTTTTGTTTTTAACTCTTTTCTTAGTTTTGATTTCTTATTTGATTTAATTCGTTTATGAGAAAAAGCAAGTATGATGGTTAATAACTATTTTATTTTTCCCAAAAAAACACTTGTCTTTTTACACACTAGATTAAATCTCATTTTGGTACCTAAACTTTTAAATTTGTCCCATTTTGGTTCTTAAAAGTTTAATTCATTTGATTATTTAAATTTTTAAAAAATAACCATTTTGGTCCATAAACTTTCATAATGTCTATTAGTTCCTAAAGTTGAAAAATAACCAATTTGATCCTTGTCATATTATTTTACTACCTAATATTCATTTATCTAATACTCCCTTCAACTGATGTGGTTTCAATATATGTTCACATTAACAAATTAATTGATATAATTACTCAAAGTCATATTATCAAATTATTTTTTTTACAATGTGGAGGTGAAGATTCGAACTCACAACCTCTTGATTAAAGATATATGTCAATTACCGTTGAGATAARTCACAAATTTGTTAGAGAATAAAAAAAAGACTCTGAGAGTCATTTTTTAAAAATCCTATTGTACCAAACATATGTTTCACATAAAAATAGTTCTTTTTTTTTAATGATTCTTCAAACCATCGTCTATTAGAAGATAAAAACTACAACACTTACTCAAATTTAAGATAAAAATTGTCACGCTTTTTTTCGAGTTTAATATAGAGAATGCTGCATATATCCATTTGGTGTAATTTGATGAAATGAAAAGTTTTAAAGTAAAAGTCGATTAACTTGGCAGGTAAAAATATATTTTCTTTTCCCTCAAATTCTTATGCAAAATAAATGTTGCCATCAAAGGTATTAGACAACCAGATTTCTAGACGGGTAAGAACTCGTTTAGTAACATTCCTATTTTTCGTTTCAAACTTTTTAGAAAACAATCTTTTAGTAATTGTTTCTATTTCTAAGAAATATTTTCAAAATTGTGTAGAAATTTTGAAAACAACAAAATCAAGTTTATTGGTTCTTGTTATCATGTCCAATTTTTTTCTAAAACATAGATAAAAACATTATTTTATCATTTTTTACTCGTAAGTTGCACAATAAGTATCAAAAAATAAATATAACATTAAAATTTAAAATATTTTATTTTAAAAATTAATTTTCACATAAAACTTTAGAAACATAAAATAATTACACAAATATATTTTTGTTTTTTTTCAATAAAAAAACAAGAAACTAGAAACTAAGATATATTTACCAAATGAAATAATGTTTTTTTTTTGAAAAGAGGAAATGAAAAATAAGTAGCAGAAAACAAGAAGCACGTTATGAAACGAGAAACAAGAAACATAACATTATCAAATGAGAAACAAGAAATATAAACGTCATTAAACAGACCCAAAATATTGAACATCTACTCATGGACAGATATCTAAATTCTCTAAAACCAAACCACCCCTTAAAAAACACAGAAAGATAGACAAACTTTTTCATTTTTTTTTTCTATTCTTTGTTCTGCAAATTATTTTTAAAAGTTTTCCCACCAAATAAGTTCTCTGCACCAAAATATTTTTTATTTTAATAATAAAAAGATTAAAAAGGAAGGAAAAAAAAAGAACTTCCACGCAGACCTGGTAACTCATTCTTGAAACATTATTACGAAAAATACTGTCAATATAGTTATGTCTAAGATTAACATCGAATCTTTATTCATATGCTACATCAAAGTCAATTTATTTTCCAAAATAAATAAAAACGCGTAAAAATCAGTTATAATTTGTAAAGAAACTACAGAAGGGCCATTTTTTCAACTAAAAATTCACTAATTTTACTAATAAAACTAAAAGAAAACAAACCTCTCATGAATTAGATGGCTTGAACAGCTATACAGAGGTCCTTTGACAGCCAAGTTTTGTGCATCCTCCATGCATCTGTCTGCGACAATGGCATGTTCTAAAGAGAGAGAGGAAGAAAGAGAGTGAGAGAGAAATGAAATATTTTACAAATATGAATGCGGCCCAGATTAAATCGAAAATAATCACGTAAACTTCGCGAAATTCTCGGATTTATTTATGCACCACAATAATACTAGGAAACGGTAACATATTACTTCTTTTGGTTGCATCATCATCATGATCATCTCTCCCCTAACTATAGTACCTTTCGTGTCGACTTTTTCCTATACTTAACGAGCGACTATTAGTTCCTCGAGGCCACCGTCATGTTCGGTGTCTGTAGGCATCATTATCTCGTCTTCAGTAGTGAAGACGTACCCTTCCCCTATGGCTCTTAGAAGCTGATATACTTCAAACATGGTAGGTCTCTCCTTTGGGGTTGGCACGATGCAGCTCTGTGCAACTTTGAGAAACTGTAAAAGCTCGCCATCAATGTTCTTGCCAACCAAGGAAACGTCGAGCGCTTCCTGCACTTTGGAGCTATCAGATAACTTGGTGACCCATTCGACTAGATTCCCTTTGAAATCCTCGGGAGCTTTCGAGACATGTGTTGCTCTCTCCCCTGTTGCCAGCTCGAGAAGAACAACGCCGAAGCTATAAACATCGCCTTTCGGAGTTGCAAGTAGAGTTCGGGTATACTCAGGAGCTACATAGCCTAAATCTCCAAACTCCCCATTCACAAAAGTACTTAAATGGGTATCAATTGGATTCATGAGCCTTGCAAGACCAAAATCAGATATTTTTGGTTCAAAATTTTCGTCTAGTAAGATACATTTTGAGCTAATGTTTCGGTGGATGATCCGCGGATTGCAGTTGTGATGAAGCCAAGCTAATCCTTTGGCTGCCCTTATCCCAATTTTCAGCCTCAGAGACCATTCCATCGGTTCCCCACCGTCATCCACGGGATGTAGCTGATCATGGAGAGTTCCATTTGGCATATCCTTATAGACCAAAAGCCTCTCTCTTTTAGCCATACAGAAGCCTAGAAGCGGAACCAAGTTTGCATGTTTTACGCTGCCCAAGGTAGCCATCTCGGATAAGAACTCCTTCTCGGTGTGCTGAGATTCTTGCAACCTCTTAACCATCAATGAAGTTCCATTCTCAAAAACTGCTCTGTATATACATCCAGTTCTCCCAGAACCAATAATGTTGTTTTTGCTGAAGTTGTTTGTAGCTTTCATGAGGTCACTTAAACTCATTTTCGATACCGACTTCTCTATAACGGAAACCTGTATAGATATTAGCTAAACCTTAGAGAAACAGAACAAAAATAGAAAACAAAAAGAGAAAAACATATAAAAGTCGAGGAATTTAAAAAAAAAAGAAGGAATAAATGCTTGCCTTTATGGCTTTTTTTCCCTTTATGCTTTTTGCCCACTTATTTCCTTCAGGGTCATCGTCCCTCTTCCCCCTCTTCATCGAGGCATTACGGAAATAGAAGTACATACCAATACCGACCCCAATTGCAGCAATTGTAATGCCCCCTACAGCTGCTCCCGCAATGACTGCGGTATGAGGGCCATTCGAAGGTGGTGATGAGCAAGGACTCATCGAAGGACCCCCACACAGACCAGGATTATTAGCATACATATCAGCTCTATTTGTCAGATTAGGAAATCGAGGTACTGGTCCATTCAAAAGATTATTGGATACACTAAACGTTGTCAACCGACCAAGCAAGCCAAGCTCCGGAGGGATCTCACCAGACAACTGGTTGTGATCCAGCTTGAGAATATTCAGATAACTACAGTTGAAAAGGCTTTTGGGTATGGGACCTGTGAAATCATTCGACGAAAGATCCAGAGTAGTAGCAAATGAAACAATGCCTCCAATATCGGATGGAATCCGACCCGAAAGCTGGTTGTTCGAAAGGTCCAAACCAGTTAAGCTGGTGCAATTCTCAATCCCACGAGGGAATTGGCCCTTAAGCCCCATATCAGACAGAGAAATACTTAAAACCTTATTCTCATCAGGATGCCAACACAAGATTCCAGCAAATTTGCAGATAATTCCCTCAGAACGGTTGGTAAAATCCCATGTTATCAAGTAATTATTGGGATCCTGAAGCGAATTCTTTATACTTCTCAAGCAAAACAAATCAGTCTCAGTACCAGAGGTGAAACCATTACTACTCAGCAAAACCACAACAAAACCAGCAACTAAACAATCGATAACTCGATTACAAAGCATATCGTCCACGAACAAAACAATCAATCAATCAATCAATCAAATTCCAGCAAAACCGGATACCTCCCCAGTTCCTATTGCATCTCACAAACACATAATCCGACTGCTTCCACAAACAGCTATTCAAATTCAAAGTCAAACAAACAAACAAAAATACAAAAACCTAGCAATCAATTACGAGATTAAACCTCCAGAAACCCCCGAAACCATACTCGCCCGCACAATCTGCTGATTAAGCAACCGAAATCAACCAGAGATGGCAGAAACTGTAGGGGTTCTTGAATTCAGCGGGGAAAAACCTCGGAAAAACGAACCAGAAGCTCCAGTCCGGAAGAAGAAGAAGATGAAGTTGGATTCCAATGGCAGAATTATGGAGCTTATACGCCAAAAAGAAGAATTGGATTGTTGCAGAGAGAGAGAGAGATGGAAATCAATGTGAACAACAGAAAATTTGGAAAATGGAAACGGAAGAAGAAATTTCATGG